GCATTAACAGAAAAGTGAAACTGGATCTTATGTATATAGAAGCAAAAAAAGTAGTTGATATACAAGAGAGTATAAAACTTTGACCAGACAAACTCTTTAGAATGTCGTTTTATTGATTCTCTGCTCGCAAAATCTTGACCTGTCTTACACGACTGACTTTCTTGGTCATGATCATTGTGTAATAGAAAAATTTCAATCATGCGTTCAATACGTAAAATATTGTCTTTTTTAAAAAAACTGATTTATGAATCCACAGAAAATTAAAAGGTATTAAAATAAGCTGCAACGCTTATTATTTTAATCCAATTTTGCTTATTTTAATACCAAAATGGATTAAAATAAGCCAAATTGGATTAAAATAATAAGCATTGCAGCTTATTTTAAAGCCTTTTAATTTTCTGTGTCGGTATCGTAATATATTCGATTAAATGCATATATGAATTTCTTTGCCATGGTTGTATGCTAATTTTTTAAATTTGAATTAAATAGATTAAGGAACTTTGATTGACAGATTCAAGATATATAAGAAAGATGATATGGTTACTTTCTCTTAGAAAATTTTTAAATTTCATCTTCTTAGTATTAGAATTCATTGCAAAACTAATATGTATATATTTCCAACATATTTTTTAAATTCTGATAAAAAAAATAAAGGTGCAGATATTTTTTTAGAAAGTCATAGATCGTTTATAGAGTATAGTTTAGCGAGGTTTTAGAAAATACAAAAGGTCGTGGTCAATTCTCTTTTCTTCTCTGACGACAAAGAAAATCTTGTTTCATATTCGAGAGCCTTAAAATCTTTGGAAAAAATTTAAAATTGTGTAGGTAGACAAGGAGTAAAAAAAATGTAACGGTAAAAAGGTTAAAGAAGTATTTAAAATATTTTTTAAATTTACAAACGTAATATTATTGTTATTATTTATTAATAACTATTATTATATTGTAATAATTTGTAAATTTATTTTTTTAAAATTCTAATTATAGATTATATATTAGTATTTTAAATTTGTATTTATATTATAATTAAAAATCTCATAAATTGAAAGCAATTTTCTTTAATGGTATAATTTTCATTAAAATGTTAATTAAATGAATGAATTTTTGAATAGAAATTTATAAATTTTTCTTTCGAGCTTCGTACCTGTACAAGTTACATACCTTAACCCTTACAGGCCTCTCATATTAAAACCTGTTCGTACACTGTTAGAAATCGGACTGTAAGTTTACACCAGAAAGATTGAAATTAGATACCTCCAAAAAGTGTGAATGCACAATCGATATGTAATTCATTTCCAAGGTCGGGTTTTTTATTTTTAAAAATTAGTATCATATTATGTATATATATAAATAGGTATTTCCAAAGAATAGAGTATGCGTCAGTTTTTTTCAATAACTTGTTAAATTAGATTCTATTTTTTTTTTTTAATTTCACTGTTTTTTTTCCTAAAGAAGTATTTGTAATATAATTGTAGGTCTAAAGATAAGAGAATTACGTCAGTATGGTAAAAAATAGTATACAGAAGAAAAGATTTATTGTAATTTCTAACCTTAGGTTAAAGTATAACATTGTATTTGACACTTTATGATTGAATACAAAAATCTATTTCTACTATATATACTTACAAGTAACAATAAGAAATTACTTTTTAATTATCGATCGTTAGCCTTTTGTATATATCTATATTGATAAATCAATTTTTAAAAAAATTTTTCTGTGATAATTCCCTATTCTTCAAAGCGAGTCAATCAATAAACCATAAAACGATATGTTTGATAAAGTATAGCAATTGAATGAAATGGGCATCGATGATATTGTCTGACAATATAAACATATATATATATACTTGTTGCGTAAGTTCCAGTTTGTGCGCAAACATGATGGAAGGATAAATTAGTTATTTTTTTTTTTTGCTGTTAAATTCAAGGAAACTCTCTTGAGAGAATGGAGAACATTAAATTATAGAACAAAAGGCTACATCGTCGCTCGAACTTGATCTTCTCATTCACATGATTCCAGATAAATGTTTTATTTGAGACAAATATAATAAATATTTTAGTTAAATAAATCTATATTTGTCTCAGCCCTTTTATATTTAAATTAAAATTTATTTACAAATATTTTTTTGTAGGAAATAAATATTTATTTGACTCTTCTCTGTTGGTGCAGAATAATTTTTTTTCCCCCGAATTCGAATTTATAATAGAGGCACATATATGTATATTGTGATTGTTAGCAAAATGTGGGGTGGAGAAATCGCATGACGTAATGCGCCCGTATATAGACAATTATCCTAAATGAGCTGTGGTTTAGTTGGATGACGATAACAGAAACGTTAGATAAAAAAAAAACACGCGAGAAACACTTTCGATTTTATACAAATGTTCTTTTTAATTAGATAAATGTAGTAGTGTCAAAATTTTAAATTGGTAATTTATTTTTTGCTGAATTAGTGAAAAAAATATTTTTATTCTTTAGTATTTAACGAATTCATTAATTTTCTAAAAATTTAATTTTAGTTTATTCACAGAAAATTAAAAGGCAATAAGCTGCAATGCTTCACTGTAAAACGAAAGGTATTAATTTAATACCAACTTTAGGTACTAAATTGTTATTTGGTTCTATTTTGATACCTAAAATCGGTATTGTTTTAGTACCTTCTTTTTATTATTTTAATCCAATTTTGCTTATTTTAATCCATTTTGGTATTAAAATAAGCAAAATTGGATTAAAATAAGAAGCGTTGCAGCTTATTTTAATGCCTTTTAATTTTCTGTGTATTTAACGAATTCATTAACTTTCTAAAAATTTAATTTTAGTTTATTCACAGAAAATTAAAAGGCAATAAGCTGCAATGCTTCACTGTAAAATTGGTATTAATTTAATACCAACTTTAGGTACTAAATTGTTATTTGGTTCTATTTTGATACCTAAAATCAGTACTGTTTTGGTACCTTCTTTTTATTATTTTAATCCAATTTTGCTTATTTTAATCCATTTTGGTATAAAATAATCAAAATTGGATTAAAATAATAATTTTAATGCCTTTTAATTTTCTGTGTTGTCGGACAATTTGAATTTTCAAATACAAACGTATTTTGTTTCCAATTTTGAAAATTGTTGGAAGTTTAATAATAAGCTTGTTTCTAGAATTGACATGTGAAGAGCAATTCGATGTTTGATTTCCCAGTGCAGTTGTGTATAAATTAGAGGATTGGTATAGGTTTGGGAATATAGAGATGCAATTAAGCGTTCGAATGAATGAAAAATGTGTTTGTGTATGTGGATTTCCCCTGTTTTTCGCAAAATTCAGAGGGTGCATACATCCATTCAAAAATCACATTTATTATACTTTTTTTCCCATCTAGCAGTTTATCACGCAGTTTCTGGTGTTTAGTTCGTGTCTGTACTTTTAAGCATTGTTAATGGACATTGCAGCTGTTCAGAAAATAGACAAACCACTACTATAGAGAGAGAGATATACATCTGACAATATATACGTAATGCATACGTAACGAACGTACTTTCCGAATCAATTTGCAAGTTTTTTCAATTCAACTTAGATTTCTCTCTCTCAATTAAATTGTTCTTTAAATCGAAATTCATTATTAGTAAATCAGTAAATGATTTTAATTTTAAAGGACTAAATACTTTTTTTTAAAAACAAAGTTAAATTTCTTTTTTTGCTTTTGAAAATTAGTGAAGCGAATAATTGATAAATTATCAGGAGTCGTTTTATTACAAATGGGAATTATGGTGCAAATTCTCATTGATGGTTTAATGTTTGTTTTGATTTCCATTATGTTGGAAGGGGGAAAATGACTCGACGTTATTCATTATTTTCCTGGTCTTTCAAATCCATGGTTATATCTCTATAAATATAAAGGAACGCGTGTATTTTTTTTTTGAAAATACATAATATGAATGCATTTCTTTTTCGTTTCGCGTGAATGGTCCACCTACGAAAGTGCGAGTTCAGAGTTGGAAATTCAAAGCACGCGTATGTGTTACAACGGCCATTGACATTTATTTATTCCGACTGTACAAAATGCGACACGATTTCACAATAGCAATATCATTGATTCTGTTTGATTAATTAATTAACATTTATTTATAATTATAAAAGAAAATTTTAATTAATTGCAAGAGAAATTAAAATTTTATTTTAAGATATGTACACGGAGAAAAAGAAAAAGTAATTTTTACTACTTTCAGAGTAAAACTGGACCAACTCGAAGTTTCTGCGCATCTCTGGCAATTTTTACTCCAAAAATAGTAAAATTTACTCTAGAAATAGTAAAACTTACTACGGAAACAGTAAAATTTACTACAGAAATAATAAATTTTACTATTTTTGGAGTAAAAATTGCCAGAGATGCGCAGAAACTTCGAGTTGGTCCAGTTTTACTCTGAAAGTAGTAAAAGTTACTTTATAAAAGAAATCTTTTTTCTCCGTGTACTTAAAAATTGGTAATTAATTTAATAGATAGAAATAGATGAAATCTTCTTACATCGAATGTTTTAAAATAAGATTTTTTTGGTAATTATTTTATTTTTTTTTTTCATTTCCTATACGTGAGATTTATTTTATAAATCTTATTTAATTCTCCGAATTAAGGATTTATTTAAGTTTCTGAAAAAGTTTATAATTCTTTTATATATATATACATAAACATGTACAATAAGTAATAAATATACAAGTGCATAAAAGTGTTATTAAAAGTACTTGTAATTAATAATTTTCTTCATATTCTAATATTTTTAAAAATATTTTTCAAGTGGACCAAATGCATGACTCAATGAAATGTTTTTGTCCGTCTTTCCTTTCATCAAGTACTTTTTCTCTCTTTTTTTCACACACACACACACACACACATAGATTCGTCGCATTGAGTCATTCAAGTCTTTTTCTTTTAACAAGTTATTCGCATGCGTACATGAAAAATTTCAAAATCCAAATATTTTATTATTAAAAAACCAAAAAAAAAAAATGAAAACTCACTCGTATATAAGTTTTGAATGTGATGTATTGAAATCCAATATCAGGATATCAAAACCCGGCGTCCTGAGATGAAGAAAAACTATATTCCCATCGAATGAGGCACTCTTGTTGTATATTGAATTCTAAATAGCACACAAAACTTTTCGAAAGAAACCCCATGAAAAGGCGGGAAAACTCATGTTTACGATTTTGCGCGCGCAAATTCGTCCTTATCAAATATAAAGGAGAAATTTTTTGATAATTTTTTTTTTCAAAAAAAAAATGACGGAACAGATTTCCGTCATATATATATGTATATAAAAGAATCGAATCGCGTTGAACACACGATGCCGTGGCAACGGGGCGCGCGCTATAGTACAAGTTTTACGTGTGTGTCCGCATTCAGTTTGCTATAACAGAAAGTGAGGGGAGCAGGGCAGATGTTCTCGATTCTTACCGATCAGCTGCGAAACCAGCCGAACTTGTTCTATATAGATGGCTCTTAGAAAAACAAAACTTTAATTTAAATATGCCGCCAAATTTTGTTTTTTTTAACGTTTATTTGAATCACTTTTTTTTTAGGTTTCTAGTAATTACTTTTTTTTGGTGTGAAAATTAGTAATTTATTTATACTTTTTACATAATATTAATGTTTTACGTCCATTGTGTTAAAATTGGATCATTTATTGTTTGTGAATTTAATGGCCATAGAGAAGGTGGTAAATTAGGAATGTTTTGTAATTCTATAGGTAATTTCCATGGTTCCTCTATACTTTTTATTTCATTATCATTATTTGTTGTATTTTCAAAAAATTCCTCAACAATTTCATTAGGATTTGGCCATTCATTTTTTATGCCTTCCGAGTGATTCTTCATAGCAACTGAAATTTTTATTTAAATTTTATGAAAAAATTTCTTTCTATTTGAATCTATTTGGATTTCAAATTTTTTTTACCAATTTGTCTTAGTTCCCACATCATATTAGGCGTGTAATGAGAAAATCTACAATTATTTCCAAATGAACATTCTCCAGTTTGGTGAAATTTCTTGCATGTGATTTTTGACATTTCTTCTTTTAAAATCTCCTCGGGTCCTAAAAAGATTTCATAAAAAAAGTTTTTAGAATTATTTTCTAATATAAAAAAAAAAATAATATTTAATTAAATCATAAAAGAACATTAATTTATTTAGTTAAATTATGTTAAATAATTTAATTTTTTTGAATAATATACCCTTGAACAATCGGTAATGCTCCGTTCGTGCATTAACGTGCAACAAACTCGTCAAATGTTTTTTTCTCGCTTCCGGATTGTCTTTAAAGCTTCTATCACAATAATCACAATAATAACGTTTAACCATTTTTAAAAATCAATTATTGGAGAAATATTAAATTTCTTAAGGAAAATGAGTGTAAATTCATATTGATTATGTCAGTTTCTGTTTACCAAGAATCAGCTGACTTAAAAAGGTATGCCATCTCGAGTTAAAATGCACAACTAATTTAAAGCGCGGTAATTTTAAATATTAATTGAAAATTAATAAATAATCATAAAGTGAACTTAATAAATTTTTTTATTTATTTAATGAAAAAAAAACTTGGTTACATTTAGTGATTATTTTATTTTAAATAAAACAGAATACACACATGATACTGCTCAGTATTGAATGTTACAGTTGTTATTTGTTATCTAGATTTTTTTTTTATTCCTACGTTGTATCGGGGGAAAATATTTGTTGATTACATAATTGAAGTTATTTTTGTAATTATTTTATTCCCAATTTTTTTTTCGTTAGGCAATATAAACATAAATTTTAAATTTTAAAAATAATTTTAAATTATTCTTCTTTCTTCAATAAAGTAGTTACGTTTCGAGTGGTAAAATTAAAAACAAAAAATTGTCTTTTAAGTCAGTATTATTTACATAAAAATTGCTAATTACTAACTTTTTTATATCAGTAAACGTTATCACTCATCCAAATAACTTTAACAGTTTTATATTTTTTTTTAAATACTTAACTTTGTACATACATGGATTTATTCAATTTTTTTCAAATTTTAATTTTCTGTTTTTTTTTTATTGGGAATAAAATACACAGTTTTTTAGTTTTTTTTTTTTTTTATTTCTCGTGCGGGAAATTATTTGGAAAAAATTATTTATTAAGGGCTAGATTTTTAAAAGAAATGTAAATCTAGTCCTTAAATCGAGCGTTTTGAGAAGAAACATATTTTCTGCACCATGTGCATCGATCGAAGTGAAAAAATTATTTGATGGCGCCTTTCATGAATTTTACAACATGCGCTGTAAAGCGTCATGAAACAAGATTTTCTTAAAGAAATAAACTTCGTGATTTAATGTAAAATTTAAAATATAAAAATTCTTATATTAAATTATAATATTATAAAAATAATAAAGTGTCAATATATAAGACGTTGCAAAGACATTAACAAAATATAGAATATATTTCGATTTAATATAAACACGATATTTGATTAAAAAAAAAAAATTTCGTATTAAAATTAAATTTTAGGTTGACATTTTTTATTCATAAAAGCTGACTTTTTCCGCGATAGTTTGTATAAATGAGAGAGTACATGAGAATTAAAAGCATACCCGTAAATTGTAACCTAAATGAAATATAATATATATAAAGTGGACTTGTTTCCATGGAAAATTATTATGTTTTTAGTTGCGAATATTTATTTTTTTTTAATTTATTTTTCCTCCAAGAAAATGTGTGGCTATTTTTTTTATAAGCAATATTTTTATTCTTCACGATTAACAATTTTTCACATTTAATATTTCTTTCGCTATCCTTATAGGATTTTTTTTAGTTTTTCATTTATTATTAAAGTGAACTCTACTTTTGCTCGGCGTGCAAGTTTTGTATTCTATATATATAAGATTTTTATATTGGAATTGTTTCTATAATTATTATATTTTTCTCTAAAAATTATTTCATCGTAAACAACCAGAAAATTTTATTTTCGTAACAAATCTTTTTAGTATTATGGTTTATTATGGTTTATTAAATTGGTGTCTGTTAAACACTTTTTTTTTTTTAATCAATCCTTTAAAATTTATATTTTTTATATTAAAAATTCTGGTGAAGTTGACGGATAAAATATTAATTATTGAAATTTTTGGTCTTCAGCTTACCATTACATATTTGAAAAAAGTACAATCACTTCCTGGTGTATTATGGTGTAGAATAGTATAAAAAATTTAGACACATAGAAGATTATAAATTTCAAAATTGTTGGGACTTAGTCTATAACTACTATATATTACAGAAAACGATAAAAATTAATAATAAGGATCTTGAAGAAGACAATAATAATTATTTATTAGAAAAAGAAAATTTTTGTACATACGGGTACACACGGAACTTCATTGCCGCGCATTCCTTTGAAGCAATATGTAATAAATCAAGGACGCGGAAAACTTCCTTTTCAACTTTAAAAGCATTTCGCCTTCTTGGGTAAACTTTCGCAAAATTCGTTCACTCTTCATTTTCTAGCAAGATGCTTCCTCATTTTTCTTCAATTCAATTTTCCTCTTTGATTTTTACCCTCCTGAGTAAATGAACAGTCAACCATTAAAAAAAAAAGTATTTTTTTTACTTTATAATAATTTTTAAATTACTAATTTTAAGAATTAAAAAAAATATATATTTTTTTGCTGTAAAAAATTTTCAAATCCATTGGAAAAAATCAATAATAATGATAATGGGTATATGTTACATATAGTTTTTAGGCCTGCTAAAAACAACGTGTCTTTTTTTTTTATCGGAAAACGACTTAAAGTTGAATTGACTATATAAAGTCAGGAAAAGACACGATATTTGTCGCTTGGCAGCATCACTATTTTATATATATTTTTTTTAATATATATACTCTCTAAATTTGAATCAGCGATAAATGCAGTGCTTTTTAAAAAAAAACGCGAAAATTACGCTCTAAATAATTATTTTTCATTTTCTTTTTTTCTCTGGATGTTTACAATTATCATTTTTTGTAGAATCTAACGCAGAAAAATATATATTATTTTGTTAAAAAATAAATCGTCATTAATTACGGCGGAATGAAATTCTTTATTATTACATCATTGCATCAGAACGATGCTTTTGGTACATGAATAATTAATTTGTTAAAAGTATCGGCTTTTTTTTTTTTTTTTTTTTTTTAATAGCATGCGCTAGTTCTGGCGGGTTTTAACTTTTTAATAATATACTTGAAAAGTTCGATTTTTCAGTTATAATTCTTGAACAAGATTTGCTAATGAGTTTATATAGAATTAATAATTAATTTATGTTTATAATATTCTTGAAAAATTATAATTGCATTATCTAAATCATTATTTTGACAATGATTTAGTATACTTTCGGCAAACCTTGTTTTTTCATTGCATTAGTTACATAACCGTTATATAAATATGATGTTTCTTATTTTCTATAAATAATCCTAAAAATAATTCGAAGATAAAATTTATTTGTCATTCTTGAAACAAAGTTTTAACAGCAATATATATATATATTTATATTTTTTTTTTTTTTGCAACTTAACAATTACATAACGTTTATTGATTAACAAAAATGGTGGTTATAACAAACTGCGTCAAAATGTTATATAACAGTTACGGTTCGTGCAATATTGTGTTTTCCAAAAATTTTTCTGATTTGACTAGATTCGTAGTTTTCGTGGGAAAATTCACGATTTAAAATATATTCATTTTTGTTAAAAATTAAACAAACAAAAAAAGTGTATAATTTTGTTAAAAATCTATGACATCTAGGAATTTAATAATGGAATGAAAATTGTTTATGCGATCACTTATTTTACGTACGTTTTTTTTTTTCTTATCTTAGTTGCTGTTTTCTTCCTTACAGTGCAGCTTTCAAATTTTATGTTCTCTTTTTATAATAAATTTTGCACGCGTTTTTTTATTTTCTTTTTTTATAATAATCTGTGCATCATTGATAATTTTAAAAAATTAAAAAAAAAAAAAGAGAAATAAATAATTTTTGCCTTTTTTATTTGTAATTAAAAAGAAGACTTTTATATCTATTTTTGGAATCATTATATATTAAAGTGCAATTCCCCCGATGTAAATACGGTTGATCAATTCTTTTGTTTTGCATATATTGGCGCGTTACATGAAACGAAGTATTTTCTTCTGTTGGACGTTTATAAGTTATCTCATCGCTTTTTTTTTTTTTTAACGATCAATGTGAAAGCTTAATGTAGGAGAAAGAAAAGACTTTTTTATACTGTCAACTTTTTTTTTCCCTTGGCAACGCACAGTCGAGTTTCATAACAAAGTGAAATAAGTTAATTCTAAAAATCGATAATTATTACCTTCATAATAATAACTTAAAATAAATATTATTCAAAAATAATAATAATTTCAAGAGCATTCAATCACAGCTGTGGTCTTAAGTAATTGGTTTTCTTTAAATGAACCATAATTTTCATTTTTATTTATTCTTATATTAAAGTCGGGAATGTAATTATTATTAATGAAATATGTGGTTTTTTTTTCTTTATCTATATATATATATAGTGCTTCTCATTTTTGAGTCATATTTCGTATCAGTTCTACCTCTGTTATATAACAGTTTTATAACTATTTCATTAAACGGAAATGCAAGACTGGGTATTTAACATAAAATAATTTACGTATTTATGTTTTTTAATGGACCGTTTGCAAAATAGTTATATTACTTCTATATAATATAACTGTATATGAAGCATAGACATAACTACATTCTAAAATTGATATTAGATATTATTTACTGAAAAAAATATTAAATCTGTTTTTATTACTTTATTAGTAAATTTTTTTTTATATTAAATTAATTTATGTAATTTTTTTTTAATAAAAAATAGTTTAATTGACAATAGATAAATTAATATTTAGAAACATGAATTTATTTTAATAGATTTTATTTTTACTAATAAAATAATAAAAATGCAACTACTTTATTATTTTCAGTGTATATATATAGATTTGTTAGAAAATTTGCTGAGTTTCGTATGTTTATTTTTTTGGTGAATTTTTATTTGAAAAGATTTTTAAACTATATAATGGCGCGATAGGAAATTTTTTTTTTCGTTTACAAAAATAAAGTGAAAATCGAACACAGTTGTTGAAGAGAGAGAAACTCAGCAAGAAATTTTAAAAAAAGGTAATTTTTTTTTTGTAACCCCGCATAAAAGTCATGTGGGTTACGCGTGCTCCCTGGTTTTTTTTTTTGGTGCCCGTTTGGCTGTGTTATTGCATTTTTTTTTTTACTTCTTCACTTCTGGTCCAGCATTGGGCACTTCTTGGCGTACTTTGTGTCCTCGGAAACTAGCTTGAATTTTCGTTGCCGCCTTGTTTAGATCAGGATCTGATAGGTCAATTCCTTCCAGCTCGTTAACGGCATCATCCACCTGGAACATAAATAATTTACTCTATTTTTACTAATTGCCAAAATTTAAGATCGATTTTATTTTTTTAATCGCAATAGAAAATTTTCCGTACAATTTCTAATAACCTGTATCTGTCATTTAATATTAACTTTTGTAATTTGAAAATTCATTTTAATATCCGCTTCCAAAGCCATGTGGAGAGTTTAAAAGTTTAATTTCAACTTCCGTAAGTTTAAAATTCCCTAGAGACCAAGAATGACGATAAAGTTTTCGAAGTTAAAAAAAATATCTCGTATATTTTTCTCTGAAATCGTTTAAATTAGTCGCAGTAAACATAAAAGTGTGACATTTGGTGGAAAATTTAGGTCCGAATTTTATAGTTATTTTCAAGTGAAATAAAAACCTATTACAAATTTAAATTCTGATTTTGAAAATTTTTAAGACTTTTGTAAAATATTGAATTTGTCATCTGCTAATTTTGGGTTCGTAATTAGTGACATCGAAAACTTTGGTCAATTTAAAAATTTTCGTCTACCTTATTGGATTTGTCGTCTTGAATTTTAAACCATATGTTCGTATAATAAGGGAAATTTTAATAAAACCAAAGTAAAAAAATTTTTAATTTACTATAAATTTTTCTTCATTAAAAATATTATTTTCTAAAATAGAAAATTTTATTTTTAAAATAAAAAGTAAAGTTTTTGCATTTTTACAAAACTTTATTGGCTGCGTACCATTAGCATGATTTGAAAAAAGGATCTTTTTTTTCAGAAAGAAAAACAGGCCAAGTTTTGCGAGGCTAGCTTTCAAAAGTTCCATGAAAATTATCGTCCACCGACTTTATAAAGTCCATGCAAATCAGGTCGCGCGCAGGAGAGAAAAAGAAGCGTTGCGAAAATACGTGGCTTTGTCTGTAACAGACTAGAATCATATTCCAACGGTTTTCGACGAAGTTGCCGGGAGTAAATTTCTCTAGACTTCTTTTGTCTACATTAGCGAAGAAAAACCTCGAGAACTCCTTTTTTTAAATATTCTACCTTCTTTAAAAATATATAATTCTTTTGTTAAAAAAAATTTTGCTATTTTTGATGCATTTTTAAATAAGGGTTATTATTGGGGTGACGAAAAAAAATAAAATTTGCGAATGAAAAAATAAAATTGGTTATGTAAAATGCCGTCATCGAAATTATGCAAAGAATTTTTTATCGACTTTTAAGTTTAATTAGAATCGAGTGAAGTAAAGCTATGTTTTCTTCCTCGCGTGAATGAACATAGTTTCAAGTACCATTATAGAAAAACCTACCCTCTCACATGCAAATAAGTGGATTAAGAACATGTAAATTGTAATTACACTTGCGCATTTGAATTTCATCGCCTTCCTAACCTTCTCTTATATTTTGTGTGCTATACCCTTCAAAACCGCTGTTCGTTTCCAGGGTTGGAAATTTTCGTTTACTATATATATATTTGCATATTTCGCATATATGTATATATATATATGTGAACTCTCGATTCTATAGGTACAAGGATGCGTTAATTTGTGACAATTACATTTCTGTGGTCGACGTGAACGTGATGAAATTATCATGTTTGGAAGCTGTCATGCATGATGTATGATGTTTAGCATGTGCTCCCTTTTCTACTTAAAAAAACTCTTAAGACTTTAACAAAATCGATATTTGACCTCATAATCAATATTTCAATTGATAATTATTCATTTAAATAAATTAAACTGTTTTTTTAGTGACTTAGAACAATTTTTGTATTCAAGGTCACGACGATAAACGTGCCCAGTTATTTAAATAATTATTTAATTAATGGTAGTAAAAAAAAAAGTTTGTTAAATAAAATTTTATCACATAGAAAAATCACGGTTTTTAAAATCTTTATCTGTAAATCAAGGAAAGTGTTTTTTTTTTTTTTTTAAATTAAAAACTTTCTATAATTCAGGGAAAAGTCAGGGAAATGTCAGGGAATTTCAGAAAATTTCATTCAAAGTCAGGGAAATTTCTGTAAATTTCTACAAAAATTAAAATTTTTTGTGAATTTAAAAATTTTTAAATCTAAAAAAACTTGAATGGTTTTAATTACCATTTGTTACTACCATTAGAAATTAATTTATTGTTAAATATGTCAGTAATTATATTTTTGTCCAAAAAAAGCAGAAATAAGGTTATTAAAAAGTCAGGGAAAAATCAAAAAATGTCAGGGAAAAGTCAGGGAATTTTTTTCTCAATCTTTGTTAGACACCCTGTAATTATACTTAAATGTCTCTTTTGTTAAGCTTCTTATTAAAAAAAAAAAAAAATTACAAATTTTTATTATGTGATTATTGTTCATCTCGCAGGGCGCTTATAAAACATTGAACAATCCTGACAAATCTTCATTTCACTAGGAAACGAGCTGCATAAATTTGCAATATAATGAACAGCCTGGTTGTCAAAATTTACATTTCAAAATGGGATCTAATTGTACTTCATATACTGACTGATTTAACTCAGATTGTCTTTTTTTTGTTGGATGCAATTTTTCTTTTTTTTAAAGAAAAGTTTATTGCAAGAAAAATTTATTATGAATAATCAATTTACATTATAATATAATAAGTATAATTTTAAAAAAAAATAAATTCTATACACTGAAAGAAATAATAATTTTTAGTACATTTTGACGCTAACACAGTGAAAAAAAAGTTTTGATTCAAATATTATTATCAAATAAAAATTATTTAGTTTAATATTTATTTGATATTCAAGTAATGAAATAATTTTTTTTTAAGGGTGTAAACAAATTTTATTTGACACATATGATGTATTGTTTGAATTTTGTAACGTGACTTTTGATAAACTTTCATAAATTTATTAACCCTCGTAAATCAAAAAAAGACAACCTCATCGCTTTTACTGCATAACACACCCCTTCTTCTGACATAATAAATTACAATTTTGGTAATAGATGTCTATAAATCAATCAAGTGGCAAATATGTTTTTGTTTTAATAGCGCATGAACAAGATAAACTTTAGTACAACTCTTGTGAAGTGTATATATATATATATGTATATACCCACAAATTCACATAATAGTATTAATAATCTTCAGCGTACAATAGATCTTGCTTCGATCGAGTCACGAAACTGCCTTACTGAAAGTTCCATATACTCATGAAGGAAGCCAGGTTTTGATTAACAATTAGTTCCAACTTCCCGAGAGATTAATTAACTTTTCCATTTAGAGAATCTCTCTCTCTCGTGATTTGTGATAAATATCAAGAGAGAATTTTGCATATTGTTAATTAGTACAGATCATAATTTTTTTCATATAAATATTTTTTTTTTGCAACTATAATTTTACATTTAGGAGAAAAAAAATGTGCTATAAACAATGTTTTCACTTCCTTGCACATTGTTTTATTTTTCTTTTATTTTCTCTGGTCATAAAAACAAGGTATAAAAATGACAAAAAAAAAAAAGTGTTACGAAACTGTAGAGGGATTTTTTCAAAACAAAAAAAATATTTAGTTTACGATATGAAATTTCATAATAATTTATTACAATTTTAATGCATAATTTTATTATAAATTTTTCGTAATAGTGTTGAAAATTTTTATGTGAATTTTCATTGTAAAACAGAATTTTGAGTTTAATTTTTCTATTTTTCTTTCTAAGGTCGTTTATCTTCGTCTTGAGAAACCCAAAGTGACTCTTTCGTTTTATAACGTTTTTGAAAACCAACTGGGAAAACTTTTCAGCCTTTGGCGACGCGAAAGGATTATAGGTTTTCTCTTTACTTTTAACGTAGAGGAGGATTTTCTTTGGTCTTGTCATCCGATATATATATAACATTAAAATCCAAAAGACTTTGTATCCTACCCATTTTATCAGAAACGTCATATGCAATTTTAATAAAAGAGGCACTTTATGGTATTATAAAAATGTAGTATAGAAATGTCTCATTTGATTCGTTAGAAATTTATTTTTACACACTAAAAAATAATACTTACTTTCAGTTCACTTTTGACTAAAACCGTTAACAGAACCATTTTTACTGAATTTCAGCCTTGAGTGTATGATTTTAAGTCCTAAAATTGTTTTAAGATTAAAATTACACTAGTTTTAAGGTATTTTGATTTTAAGATGTTAATGGTTTCAGTATTTTTTTTTGTATGTAAAAATAATTTTATGAATAGAAAAAAAAATTTGAAAAAAGAAAATATAGTGAAAATTTGAAAAATAGGATTTTGTGAAATATATAGAGGTATAATAATTTCAAGAACGTGTAGAATGAAGACAAGAATTTGGGTCAGTATTACGGAATTTGTATATACAATGTACCTACTTTACAGTCTAAGTTTGTTGGTTTATCCCTATCGGAAACTTAGCTTTAGCTGTTATCTTGGCATTTGAAGGTTTAATACTATATCAATTGCACGTAAATTTAATCCATTGCCAAAACTATAGTTAACTATTTAAATTATTAATTTTTTCTGTTGTTTAATTTAAAAAAAAAATTGAATTTTAAAATGGAAATCTAATATTTAGTTTTGAATATTAGAATTAAATGATAATATGAGGTGCAATTATAATAAACTGCTCGTGAAACACATGATTTCTCATTATTCATTCCATTTGCAATTTTCGGAAATCGGTTACCGGAAATAATCATCAAAGGATTTGCAATGTGATGTGTGCTTTCTAGAAATTCACCAAACTATGGATTCTCTCGGGAATTCGCTATACTGCATATATATATGTCATCGAACACGACCTCAAGTAGTTTAGGTTCAAGTTTGGTCAGTCGTATCATTTAAATATTTGTTTCGAGCTTTCAATTCTTCGACAAACAGTCGTTTATATATATATTTGGATTTATAAATTTCAAGACTATGTTAAAATATTTATTTCTTAAAAGAAATTTTCATTTTTGTTTGACCCATTTTTCTATGAGGTTCTAATTGAAAAAAAATTGTTTTTCAAATAATCGACTATTATCAAATATTACACTAAAAAAAGGGTTTGGTATTGAC